CCCAATTCACAAAGAATTATACACCTTTTCTCCTTCTCGAGTCCCTGAATTCCAGTCTTTTCAAAGACCTGAGCGCTGGTCAAAAGTGGTTGTTTCGTTTCAACTCGCTTTATTTTACGTTCATCTCGAGGAAGCAAGTTCATAATGTCTTTTCCTTTGCTTCCAGTTCTCAACTTATATTTTCATCTGCCTTCTTTATCGTTCGATCATTTCTGCAAAGGTCTTTTTATGTTTCTGATGTGGGGCCAAAGTTGGGACCACAGAAGTAAAACACGGAACACGGATTAGATGTAAGAAAGATATATTAACAACAGGTTACAGAGATAGTGTAAGCGGAGCTTACTATAAGTTAGTGTCCAACACTGGTAGTCTCACTCTCACTGTCACTCTCTGTCACTCTCTAGAGTGAAATGTCGCCTACTTAATATAGGCCTGGAAGAGTCTATTGTGTAGGTATTTTCCGGTCTCACAATAGTTTCCAATGTGGACATTCCCTCACTTCATAACTTTATCATTTTCTGTTGTTCAGCAGATCTTAGATACTTCCCTTTACCCATGTTTCAACATATATGATGCACATAAAGAAAAAAGCTTTTATTTGATCTCAGAGGTCTTAAGCTAATATAAGTTTCATCTGAATACTAAATTAAGTCACACCATTTTCGTAAATTTCAAATATCTCCAAAACTAACCATTACAAATGGCAGAAAATTTAGTTAAATATTCCTAAGGGTTTAAATGGACGAGTTTAAATTTAATAAAGTTTCATTCCGAATCTTCTGGGTTATTGAGGTTTATTTGATTTGCATAATAACTTTAGACAGACTGTAGATGTTATTTAATCAATATGATTACAGTTATTCAATTCAGTATTTTAAAATTATATAATGGAATCCATCTAAGAGATAGTACCATTATCATTCCACTAGTATATCATAGTTTCTGTTTTTGAATTTCTTCTTCGAACACTTAGTATATTATATTGGCCTTTGGTTCAAAATCCTTCCTATGCCAAAAATGGTCACTTATATAATTAGGATATCCATCTTACTCGTCGTCGATTCGCTGACCTCCGGAAGAAAAACCAAAGAGTTGTTTTCTATCTTATGTGTCGTGTCCCCTCAGGAAGTAGACGATCGTGGCTCTCCACAACACCCATTTATTTACTGAAGATCACTAAGTATGGTAAACGTTGTTTTTTCTGTCCCTCTATGTCCTCAATCTGTCCTGTGAATAACAAAATTTCCAATTCCTCCTCCCCGATCATGTGCCCACAGAAACCTCAATTGTCTGTCCCTGATGTTAAGTATAAGTTTTTGTTTTGTTTCCATTTTCTCCAAAACCTTGATGTTTCTCACGTGTTCGGGATACGATATCTTCAGTATCTTTCTGTAGAGCCACATTTCTGTTGCTTAAAGTCTTCTCTTCATCTATGAGGAGATCGTCCAGCAATCACTGCCAAACAGGAGGACAGATATCACGCAGCAGTTCAAAACTTTTGCTTGTTTCGAGCTTGTTTTTTTTCTATTTCTTAGTACCCTGCTTAACTTTTGGAATGCTATACTGGCTACCTTAATACGCCTTCGCTTTTGAGAACCACACGTTCCGTTTTTTGTTAAAACACTTCCCAGATATTTAAATTTCAGCACTTGTTTGATTTTGGCATCATCCTTTCGCTATCAGTAGATTTATCTGTATTCCAGGTGCAATAAGTTGAAATCGAACTCACTGAAATTGTAATTAATTTGTAGAACAGTTGATTCTTCTAATTTATAGAAGTAAATCTCAGTGCCTGATTGGTTGAAATGATCAAGCGCTTCTCTGACTTTTAACTTTTCGTGGAAATTTTTGATTTCTATGAGACAATAGAGCAAAACAGAATGTCTTTGAAATCTATTTTGTATATTTTTTTCTTATGGATTAATCTATTTGAATTTACTGACACAAAAGAGGAGATGACAAAGAAAACATCGTTCGTCTCACAAATACAAATTCTGTCTTTGAAAAGTTATTCGTTTTGTTTTGGTTTTTCTTTATTTAAAGTTATTCGAAAAGACAGTCGAGAAAACAAACAATTTTTGATTTCGAAGACGATACACTTACCAACGTAGTGAAGCGGTATATAAAAAAAATTACGACTAATCCATGTGGAAGTAATCTTACCTATCTTTTTAGTTATTCTTTCAGATGAAGTACTGTAAGCAAATTTTGACTTTAGACTAGTATTTCGTTCATTTAATTTTACTTTTTTTTTCTTCACTGTAGACACTCAGTTCTTTTATAAACAACGCGAAATAGCAAGAAAGAACATGCTTTCAGTGCAGCATGAATTTACATCAGCCAGAGATATAAAAGCTAATCTATCAATTGAATTACACAAGCGTCATGGCTGGAAGAAAAACAAATTGAATCATAAATCATCTTCATTTTATTTCGATCACAGCGCAACAAATGTCTAGCCGCCTTAATAAACGGGCATGCTCGGATACAAGAGCCCTGCCATTCATATTATCTTCAATGCGATCACTGCGCAACAATTGTCTAGCCGCCTTAATAGACGGGCATGCTCGGATACAAGCGCCCTGCCATTTACATTATCTTCATTGTTTTTCTTATGACAATTATTAATTTTTGATTAGTATTTCTTTAGGGTAGCTGCTAGTATCATTAGTAGTTTTAGTATCTTCATAGGCGCGTGGGTGAGTGATTAGAACGTCCGCTTTCCAATCGGGTTCGAATTTCACCCCATGATCGATTTGTCAGGAACTTGACTTCTAGATGTTATCGGGGTTCAGTCGCTTTATCTCATCACCACAGTCTCTCATTTTATGATTAACATCGGCAATTTTGACACGTTTTTACACATTTGCCAAGAAAAAGCCAATTTTCGGTTTTAAAATATACTTATATTTGAGGAATATTATATTTGAGGAATATTAACTGATTTAAAGTATAATTAATTTTATTCATTCACAATAATTGTACTTTACTAATTACCTTGTCTGTCGCTACAGTAATTATCTACAAGAATTCATTCACATTTATTGTACTTTATTAATTGCCTTGTCTACTTCTGCAATTATCTTTAAGAATTCATTCACAATTATTGTACTTTACTAATAGCCTTTTCTGCGTTTACTGCAATTAACTATAAGAATTGATCCAAATTTATTGTACTTTACTGATTGCGTTATTTGCATCAACCGTAATCATCTAGAAGAATTCATTCACATTTATTCTACTTTACTAATTACCTTGTCTGTCTCTACTGTGTCTACCTATAATAATTCATTCATATTTATTGTTTTTTACAAATTGCCTTTTTATGCGTTTACTGCAATTATCTTTAAGAATTTATTCACATTTATTGTTCTTTACTAATTGCTTTATATCAGTTTGCTTTCTTTATACAAGGTAACCAAAAAAGTTCTGTCCGTTTTTAAAGGAAAAAAGAAAACGCTTCACAGTATGTGTAACTTATATTTAGTCTTCGAAGTAATCGGCATCCAGCACCTTCTGCCAACGTGTCTCCAGCTGTTCAATGCTCTTGCGGTAGAAATCGGGGGTGGGGGTTGACGCAAAGAAGTCCGTGAAGGCTTTGCGCAAGTCTGCTTCATTGGTGAAGGATTTCCTACGAAGATGATTATCCAGGGAGGTGGTAATCGGATGACGCAAGGTCAGGTGAATAAGGTGGATGGCACAAAGTCTCCCACTCAAGTTGCTGTATGGTATCCCTGACCACTCGCGCGACATGCGGCCTGGCGCTGTCATGGAGGAAAAGCACACCTTTGCGATTCACCAGTGCTGGCTCCTGGTGCAATGCCTGTTGCACACGTTTCAATTGTTGCGAGTATAGGTCTCCAGTGACCTTTTGACCCGTTGGTAGCAGTTCATTATGAACCACTTGACGACCTGTCCACCAGACACAAAGCATAATCTTGCTGTCTTGCGGTGTGAGGGACAGCATCCTGAGGAGACAACCAATGTCTGGAACGCTTGGGAGTTTCGTACAGAACCCACTTTTCATCAGTGGTAAGCACTCGATTGAATAAGGATGTGGTACGGTGGGGAGAAAGCAGCGATACACAGGCTGCCACTCGTTGTCCCTTGTGGACCTCCAACAGCGTTTGCGGAACCCGCTTGCTCAGTTTGTACGTCTTAGCTAGGCGGTGCACGTGAAGTCTAACTGTTTCATCGGAAACGTTGAACTGTCTTTCAAGTTCACCACACGTTAGACTACTGTCCTCTTCAATGGCCACCTTCAGGACTCCGTCATTCAAGACCTGTGGTCGTCCACTGCGAGGCTCATCATGGAGAGACAAATCTCCCGATCTGAATTTTCGAAACCAACGCCTTGCAGTACGTTCATCCACAGCACTATCCCCAAACGCTTGACATATGCGGCGACTTGATGCAGCTGCTGATAAGCCCACTTTGAAGCCGTAAAGCAAACAGCCCCGAACGAGATCTCTAGACACTTCCATCCTTCTCACAGCTGTCCGGCTTATAACTTATGGCCGGGCACGGTGCGCGTGTTTTTTATAATGTCTGATGTTCCTACTTCCGGCTGTCCGAATTTGAAAACAATTGCTACACGCATTTCGTATATATTTCAACTTAATTCAATAACTAATCAAAAATGGACAGAACTTTTTTGGTTACCTTGTATATACCAATTCCCATTGATACAACCAGTTTTTCTTTTATGCTTTGGCAAATTTAATTTGGCTGGTTTTTTGTTTTTGTTTAGCGGCAGATCAAGCTCTATGACTCATTTAATGCCGAAATTTATATATTTTGTAAGGCATTTTATTGTTTTTAGATAATAACGGCTTTAGCAATACAAGTTTTACTAATTAGTCCATAGCTGAGTGAGAAGAGGTATATTCATATCGTTCCCAAGAATATTTGCGCGTAAATGATTATAATGCACCTATGAAAATGAACTCTCTGATTAACAATCCCGCGCCACTATTCATTACACCATCCATATATCCAAGCTTACAACGCCTGGTATTTCAAAGAGGTCACCCATTTATGTACTGACCAGGCTAGACGATGCTTAAATGCGATGATCATACGGGAACCCGCGTTTCAACGTGATGTGGCCGTAAGCGTAAAATTAATTTAGTTTCTTTTCAAAGTTGAAGTTACACTATAGAGTCTCATAATTTATTCCAGTACATTGTTAGAATAATGCATATACATAAAAGAGTGAGTTCGATCCTCACTGGGTGGCTCATACTTTCGGCCTTGTACCACATCTAAGCCAACGTTTAAAAAATCACCAGCGGTGTAATGGTTCGCAAGCATGTCTCACTAGATCAGTTACTGGGTGCCCAATAATTACGGCCTTGTGCCATATATACGCTGCGTTTAGAGAATCACCGCTGGTGTAATTGTTAGCGATTTTGTCTCAAAATATTAATTATGACTGAATAGTGAGTTCGATCCTCACAGGGCGCCCCATAATTTCGGTCTTGTGCCTCATCTAGGCTAAGCTTAGAAAATCACCAGTGCTGTAATGGTTAGCAAGAATATCTCGCTAGATCAGTTACGACTGAATAGTGAGTTCGATCCTCACTGGATGCCTCATACTTTCGACCTTGTGCCACATCTACGCTACGCTTCGAAAATCACCAGTGGTGTAATTGTTAGCAAGCTTGTCTCGCTAGATCAATTACGACAGAATAGTGAGTTTGATCTTCACTGGATGACCCGTATTTTTGGCCTTGTGCCACATCTACGCAACGCTTAGAAAATTATCAATGGTGTAATGTTAAGCAAGTTTGTCTCGCTTGTATCAATTACGGCTGAATACTGATTTTTATCCTCGCTGGCTGCTCTATACTTTTGGCCTTGTGTCACATCTACGCTACGTTTAGAAAATGACCAGTGGTGTAATGGTTAGCAAGTTTTTTCTCGTTAGATCATTTAAGACTGGAATATTTAGTAATATGAAAAACTCAGCCGTTATACTCATCCGTTTAAATGTCACATTCGGCGGCCTTCTCCCTGTTACCAGATCCTTTCCTAAATATAAATTTTATTATTAAAGTATAATTATCACTCAGCTAACTACTGCTATTAATTATTATTAAGTTATCACTGACATAGGCACTGGCATTCAAATATTGCTGACAGACAAAAATGTAGGTACGTCAAGGATTGATTATCACTCTTAACTCGAAACTCCTGGGCAACAACAACAGAGAAGGTGTTATTTTATGATCTGAAGTTTGGTTTCATTATTTTATACTTAGGTAAAATTTACTCACAAACCGGTGGACCTGTTGAACAGGAAATTGTGTTGGACGAGAATAAATTGCGCTCCTATGTGTTCTTCCTTCTGTGATATGGTAATAAACATAATCGTGTTGGTATTGGATCGGATTTTGCTATAGAGAGCCAAGATAATCAACAAATCTGGAGGTGTAAATTAAATTCGAATTCTGACCAAGTTATCTTGCGTCGTTTTTATCTTAATTTTTTTCCTTATTGTTTCAATAATATTGAAATTGTTTTTCTAATTGCTTTAGTAATATTATCCTGAATTTGCATTACATGAAACATTAACACTATGGCCCCTAAAAAATATAAGAACATATTGTTCCTTGTCCTTGTTGGTGAATATAAAAGAGAGAGTTTACTAAAATGATTTACCAAGAAATCGCGTATTCTGCCCTAAATGGTAACGACAAAAGCGTGAATACAGATTATGACATTTGACAAGAGCCTAAATTTGCTGAATAGATACTATCCTTACTAATTCATTTGTATATGTGTAGCGTCCCTTCAGGACGTGGACGATTATGTACATTATTTACATTATTTTTCCTCATCTTTTTCGCCATATTTACTATAACGTTTCGGCCGCTGAACGCTCCGGCCTTCTTCAGGTGGTTGGAGTGTCGAACTGAACCTTTTATTTAGCTCAGTGGGGTAGACTGTCCTAGTTCCACGTGCTATGTTTAATGGATGTCAGTTATCAGTTATCTCCTGTTAATTCTCCTCTGAAATTTCTCCACTGCCTTAGCCTGTTATTGGACTCACACTCTTTGGGTCCTGACACTTTATCCACTGTGCCATGTGTCTTTGAGTACACATGACATAGTGGATAAAGGCGTTGTTCCCGTACAATAACTGAAGTTAACCCTTTGAAACCTGACGTGGTGTTAGAGAAAAATGACAATGCCCAGCCACCAGTTGCACGGTGGGTAAACACTTGTGACTATTTTTGCATCTATAGTGAAACGATACATACCAATTATTTGCGAATTTTTACTCAGGCAGAAAGGTTAAAATTGTTCAGGAACGTGGGGCTCAAAAGAATTACGAAAAGTTGAGCCTGGTTAGTATCTAGATTCGTGATTGCTGGATAATACCAGGTATGTAAGCTTGGGCGAGCGGGTAGTGTAATGGATTTTTTTTGTTTTGAATTTTTTCTCAGAGAGATGAATTCCAGTTCTTGTTGGGTTCATTATATTAACTTATGCGTAAATACCCATTTGGAAAGGCATGAATCCACCTCTTCTCCCCACATCTATGGGTTAATTAGTATGAATTGTAACACTGATCCATTATAATCTCATTAAAATAAATTTACAATTTAAAAATATTTTCTGGCTTTAAATATCCTGCAAAGGGTTGGTAATCCGTAAAAGAAAGAATCAATCGACGAAGAATGCGTGTATTGTGATACGACAGTAACACAATAAAAATGTTTACTCAATGGCCTATCACAACCGACTGAATAACCCCATTGCAATTTAAACCTTTGGTTATTGTGAATGAGACAGTCAAAAAAGACATAAACATAATCATGTCGTTATCTCAGTTGGTCGAATTCTCCACCCCAGTACAGAATGCTTGTTTATACTGCCATGTTGTATCAGAATCACACAAACGGATCTCGGGATATTAAAAAAATATATTATACGTTCCACACAGAGTTTGTCTGCCGCCTAATGATTGGCATAGTATTCAATTCGGGAGAAAGACGAAATTTTCTATTTGGAACTTAATTCTGAGATTCTTCGAATGAATATATCAATGTATCTTGTTTTTAGTAAACGCTTCATTGTCAGAAAGCTTGTTCTCGTGTTTGGCTTCTTGAAGCTTACATCTTCAGAATTTCGATTGGATTCAATTTTAATGAAGAAAGTACATAAACTCTTCGAATAATAGATCAATGGATCTTGTTTTCAGTAAAAGCTTCCCTGTCAGAAAGCTTGTTCTCGTGTTTGGCTTCTTGAAGCTTACATCTTCAGAATTTCGATTGGATTCAATTTTAATGAAGAAAGTACATAAAATCTTCGAATAATAGATCAATGGATCTTGTTTTCAGTAAAAGCTTCCCTGTCAGAAAGCTTGTTCTCGTGTTTGGCTTCTTGAAGCTTACATCTTCAGAATGTTTGATTGAATTCAGTTTTAATGAACAAACTGAAATTACTTCGTACGGCGCCAAATGAAAGCGAAACAAATATAGAAAAAAATACGAAAATTGTTGAAATGTTGATTAACAAACGATTTAATTATCTATCTTATTGCTAAATGTGTGTATATTTATTTTGATAGTGTAATTCTGAGCATAAAGTTCCAATTAAAAAAAAATCTGCCCTACTCTTTGTCCGTCTGTTATTTGAAACAAAAGCTTTGTTCATATTTATTGGGTCACCAATGAAAAGAATAGATACTTTCTATTATGATGCATAGAAAATTCATAGTAAATAGAGTAGCTACTGGTATTTCTCGTCCGGTGGGGGGGGTATTTATTCAGTCAGTTATGCGCTCAGTTGATCATGTGTCTTTCGATATATGAGTCACGAGGTAGTTTTTTTTTTTTTTGCGCAGTAGATTGTCATTTCTTTCTGCGGTCGACCAGTTGCTATCCAAGGCTATAGAACATGGTCTGTCCTGCTATTTACCATAGCTGGGATGGGGTAGAAGAAGAGGATTCATACCTTTCCCAGGGGTATTAGCACGACTAGAATTTGAACTCGGCTCTCCGAGACATTTTCAAAACAAAAAAATAAAACAATAATTTACAAATTTAATGATGGCCTTATACCACTGCTCTAGTCAAAGTGTTTTGTATGCCAGCTGCTCAGAAGCGGACAACGCTGCCATCCAACGGGTTATAGATACTGTCCAGATAATAATCTGTAGTTAACTTCCCTCATTTGGAGGATGTTTCTAACTCTCGTTCTCGCAGCAGAGCAGAAACCATAATGAAAGGCAGCATACATCGCGGGTAACAATTGTTTGAACTGATAATTTCAGTATGAGGTTTTACCTCTATTGGTTCTAAGAAAAGGCGCTTAGGAGACACCTTTTATCCATGCGCACCTTGGCAAAATGATCACTGCTACGCGCTGATAATTTTCAGTGTATTTTAAACGTTATTCAGTCAATCATGTGTCATGCATTACACACGCTTAGGCTATCATGTATCTTTCGATACATGACTGAAGAGGCAGATTTTTTCCCGCAGTAGGTTGCTATTTCCTTCTGCGGTAGACCAATTGCCATCCAAGGCGATAAAACCCAGTGTGCTAGTTATGAGGGGGAGAAGAGGATTCATACCTTTCTCAAATGTATTGGCATGTAAGTGAATGTAATGGATTCGAATGGAATTCGAACCCGGCTCTCCGATTCCGCAATCCGAGCCGCTATACTCAACCCTGTCTCCTTAAATCTTATTACTTTTCTTTATTCGATTGTGTGTGTGTTTGTATTTGTCTGCCTAGGAAATGGTATCCATTGTGTCAAGAGAAATAAATAAACAAACAAATAAATAAAACATGCGTCTATCCTTGTCGATGTAAATATAACGAAATTGTCAATACTACCATATCCGGGAGGTGCAAAAATTTAGCGCATATGTCGATAATACCCAATATATATTAACATCGATGGGCAACATATTTTATTCGCACTTGCTGAGTCACCAGATAAAAAATAATATTTGGAATGTCATATCTATAAATGAGTCAAGTTTGCATCAACGTCCCCGTGTCACGAATACAACGCAAGTGTCAATGTAGTGTCATGCTAGAGCATTTATTTTCACTTAATATCGCACAGTGACTATCGAGGGAGATAGGTAGAGAAA